CAGTTAACGTGCATGCAGCATGGATAGACATGCTCTGAACATGGGCCAGATCCACCAGCCTGGAAAGTGCCAAGGAGTTGTCATCTTTCTGGCCAAATATGGACAAGGTTTTTAGAATAGTCAGGTGGTTATATGAGGCAGTGACCTGCTCAATTGACTCATCCAGCAGCTGCCGAATAAATCATCTGTGCTTTTGAAGGATGTTCATCGAGGCAAGATTGCATAGGTTGTTTTTTTTGGACTGTTGGATGAGCAAGGTCCCTTGGTGGTAGGTTCCTGAGCTTGGTTTTGAAGGTTTTGATCATGTTATTGAGAAGTTCGATGGCATTTTCTTTTGCCAAATGTGTCTTGGTTGTGTGATGGTGGGGATGCCGCATGTCCCTGGTGATGACGGTTAGGTTCAAGAAGTAACCACCATCAACACATGCCAGCGTTATTCCTTGGCTGCATCGTAGTGCGTCCACCCCTGAATAACTGCAGTCACGCAGTTGCACGTGTTTTTTCAGAATGGACCAGTGCGCTCGGAGATGGTGCTGCTCAATCCTTGGAATGTTGATGTAATGAAAGTCTGCTTCCAAACCCAACAACTCTGTCAACCGGATGACTAATCAATCAAAGTCAAAAGCGTGGGGGTCCACCAAACTCGAGTGGAAAGGGATCGTGGTATCATTGTGGAGAAAAGCATCAATGTTGGTCCAATTTTTGAAAGACAGCAGGCTGGCAGTGTTCATCTGACCAACTTCCTCCAGTGTAGCCATGTATTGACCAGCTGCAATATAAAATCACAGTGAATTGCGGTGAGTAGTATACATGTAGGTGTACTTTTTCAATACTACTTGGGACTAAATGGACCCACTGTTTAATATACACTACCGGTCAAAAGTTTTTGGACACATTCCTATTTGTAAAGTTTTTGAAAGAAGTCTATTATGCTCACAAAGGCAGCATTTACTTGATCTCAAATAAAGAAAAAAACAGTAATACTGTGAAATATTATTACTCTTTAAAACAATGGTTTTCTATTTTGATATATTTTAAAATATCATTTATTTCTGTGATGCAAAGCTGAATTTTCAGCATCATTTCTCCAGTCTTCAGTGTCACATGATCCTTCAGAAATCATTGTAATATGCTGATTTTATACCCGTGATACATTTTTCAGGATTCATTGATGAATAAAAAGTTAAAAAGAACAATTTTTTTTTCCAAAATATAAATCTTTTCTAACAATATAAATCTTTACTTTCATTTTTTTTAATCAATTTAAAATAAACAGCCACAAACAGCAGCAATTACAGAAAAATAAATAATAAATAAATTTACTATTTTTTCCACCATATCACATCAATGTTATATGCAGTGGTTAAATTGCTTTTGTAGGGAGGGGGAGCCCTTATTTACACTGAATGGTCTTCATTCAAAATTGCGCCGTAAAATGACTTAATGTGTTTTTACACCAAAGGGGCTCTTTTTCCAGTATTAATGTGTAATGCAGGGTTGAGTAGTTGTTCAAACAAAGAGAAATACTTTACAATTCACTTACTTTATTATTATTTTTTACCTTTAATGTTAACAGGCAGGCAACGGATTTCACCCTCGGAAAATGTATGAAATTGAACATGTTAGAAAATATTGGTTGGCAAATATGTAGACATCTTTTTAAACAAGAAAATTGTGTTGATTTAAGAGAATCAGGGCCAATTTCTTTGGCAGTTTATGTTATGTTTGATTTAATCACACCGACACGGGAGGTAATTATTCAACTCAATGCATTCTTAAACAACCCGAACAACACTTGAGACACTTGTGCAGACATAACAGTTTACACTTTAAATACATCACATTTACTTATTCACATACTACAATTCATACGTTCATCAGCTTCCAAATAGGAGTAAATGCAGGCTCCTCTGGTTTATGCTGCCTTTGTCTACAGGCAGCATGGTCTGTTGACCTCCTTGTCATCACATACTTCCTAACATACTTAGTTGGGTTCCACAACTCTAGTGGTGGACCCACTAACTTTACGAACATCAAAGAGGACACATTGACAATCTTCAGCTGATTTCTCAGTGGTGAAACAATAGTATTCATCGCTGAAAATCCCCTTTCACATTCAGCTGTGCTCACAGCCAGTGTATCTACTGTGTGTTTTAATTTCAGAAGACCCTCTTTAATTGCCATGTTTGGGTTTTCCTTGTAGTCCCTGAAACCTTGTTTGACACTACAGTAGTTCATTGCCAGACTATCCCACAGCTGCCTCAATTCATGTTCTCCATACAGCAGTGGCACTGGAGAGGGCCAGGTGTCAGGTGACAACACATTTATTTGATCAAAAATCTCCAGCCCATGCACTGGGACCATCCTGGACTGCATGCTACAACTTTTCGTGATTGATTTTTATTTGTCTCCAACCCGTTTTCAATGGAACCCCCTTAAAAACAGCATCCTGAACAGCCTGACAGGCAATCTGGTAATGAGGGCCTGGTGTCTCCATCATTGCTAAGAAAACATCAGTGTGCCGTTTAACTTTTTTTAACCCTTCTGAGAGATTAATTTCTCTGTTTTGTAATGCCTCAGACAAGTCTTTAAGCTCTTCTAGAGCATCCAACATTAGTCCCAAATTGACAACAAAACCCTCAGAGGATAATTTAGCTGCAAGCCCGTCATACATGCACCTTTCAGCCGAGGTCCTGGATGTATATTTACCAGCACTAATAAAGTGCTGGTGCAAAGCACCATACATATTCCAGACAGCCTCAACTGTCCTGTTGGAAGAGGCAACCAATCTCACATTTAACAAACAACCTATTTTTCTCAACTGTGTACAGCAAATGTCAATAGCTCTTGTTTTGGTTTCTTCAATGTTTGTTGTAGGCTTATTTGGAAATTATCATAGTTGTAGTATTTCATCCTTGCTGTTAATTAACATTAGCCCCCCTTACGTTTCAAAATGCGGCAATTGCTGATGTTTTGCAAAATGTGCCCTTTGCGCCACCTGGCGGTCGTTTCACGAACAACTTTAAAATGCAACTGGTTTATTTTTGCCGTGGCAGTAATAGTTGACTACCAACTGTATACAGTATGTCTCAAAGTGCGAATCTTCTTTGTAAACTGGAAAATGATCATGAATTATGTGTATTTGATACCCAAGGTTTGTGTGCAATTAAAAAACAGTGTTTTGTCTTTTATAAACAAATGAGGTCCACACTGTTCTTGGAATGAAGAATATGATTTTTATTTGCCGGCATCACATACAAATTATAGTTCTTGTTAACAAACAAAGTAAAATGCAATGAACGATATGAATTAAATACCATCACCAGACAAAAAAGTCTCTTCAGATTTGAGAAATATAAACAAAAAGGCATCTCTTGTGGCATTTGACATGGTGTTTGAATGAAGAGGATTCCATTCGCGGGTATCATTTTCTTCATGAACATTATCATCATATTCCTCAATATTAACTATTATCAACATGCTGCGATAATAGTGTTGATGATAAAGACTACGTCAAAGTGCCGGCTCACCATTGGCTAGCTCCTGCGCCAGCATCACACGCATGCGTCGTGGTCCTCGCGTGAACAGCATCAGCCAATGGTAAGCAGGCATTCTGACGTAGAACTCGAAGCGCTGCATTAGTATTTAATACATGGAAAGTGTAGCAGAATGACTCTGACGTGTAGAAATTGTTGAATAATGTCATTATTTTGGGGGGGGGGGTTTGCGCAAAAAGTATTCTTGTCGCTTCACAACATTAAGGTTGAACCGCTGTAGTCACATGGACTATTTTAACAATGTTTTTACTACCTTTCTGGGCCTTGAAATTTGCAATTATGTTGCTGTCTATATAGGGATCAGAAACCTCTCGGATTTTATCAAAGATATCTTAATTTGTGTTCTGAAGATGAACAAAGGTCTTACAGGTTTGGAACAACATGAGAGTGAGTAATTAATGACATAATTTTATTTTTGGGTGAACTATCCCTTTAAGGTCTGCCTGAGGTGTTGTCCCTTTTTTTCTGTTTTGTTTTGTTTGCTTTGTTTGTTCTGTTGGAACTTCACTAACAAAAATCTCAATAAAACTATTCAATAAAAAGAAAAAAAAACAATGGAAAAATGAAAGTGTTATCAACTAATTAAAATAGTAATTTGTTCCTGTTACATTCATATTAGCATCTATTTTAAAACTATTAAATCAGTGGTAATCTCTATTTAGCTTACAATCTAACAAACAACAGCCTATGATTTAGCCCATGACAAAGGCAAAAATTGCATACATGCTCTATAAAAAAACTACTAAGTACTAAAATAACTAAGTAAACAGATGTATTTCTAAAGCCCGGGATACACTACATGATTTTCACAGTCCTATAAGATCTTTACAAATCACACTGTACGACATAGATCTATTAAACGTGGGTAGGACATGCATGTAGACTGTACGATGATGACTTGTATTGACTCGTAGACTACGATGCAAGTTTCAGCCTGCGCTAGAGGTAAACAAAAAAGACCATGATGAATCACACTTTGGCAGATGTAGTTTTTATGTGTGCTGAAAAAACCTTGAAAGAGGAAGGGAAAGAGGTTTTTTTTTTTCATCGATTATTCTAACCTGAAACAACGTTGTTTGCCATTTTGCCAACTGGTGTCGTTCGTACAAATTTCTATTTCATCATCTCTTGTTTTTTTTTATGGCAGTTCTTACTTTACAGTAATAATAATTTTGTATAACTCATCTGTTCGCTTATTTGGATTGTGTACAAACTTTATTTCAGATAAACACTTAAATTTACTTCTGTGGAGATATCTCCTTAAGCGTGGTTTAATATTATTTAAGGTATATTTATTAAGCGTGGTTGGTGGGCCCCTCCCTTAAAATTCAGAAAAATACACTGTGCGATGAACATGCTGAATTTCTGACACTGTGGTCTTTGAACCTCTCTCATTGTACGATTAGGCAATCTTTCGTCTAGGACAGCCAAAAATAGTGCAGTGTATTCCGGGCTTAAGACCCCAGACATTCTTCAACAAGACGTGGTCAGGCCAGCTAGGAGTTACTAGATTGTGTCCAGCCCAGCTGCTTTTCTGATTACTCGAGCAGTATTTGCCAGTTCTTTTAATCCTTCTCTCAAGAGGCACTGAGTCGAAGCAAAGGACAACCCTGCAGCACAAACACTGCCCACACCTGGAAGGAGACTCAACAAATCTGCAACGGTGGACATTGCTACAACCGACGCACCAACATGTAGTGTGCTCAATTCTTTTTTTTGGATGGCATTAGCGAACTTTGATTCAGCCCGATATTCCAGCAAGGGTATGTTCACTTTTTCTGAAAGCCTTTTCAGTGATTTGTCATCCAAACCAAATGCATAATAGCACCTTGAAAGGAAAAGCAATGCAATGGCTGCATCACACGCTACTGATGTGCCAGGCACAGGGGTCACTGTTATACCGGCAGAAGCAAGAGATGCAGCCCAGGTCAGCTCTTCAAATAACTTGATCTTCTTCTCAAGAGTTGCAGCAGAGCACACTGGCCAAGCTAGAAGAAGAGCAGCTCGTTTATGGACCGGAAGATCATCTGCGAGTGTGTTTTGAAGCTTTTCAAAATCATATTTCCCCGAATCAACAGACGATATCAAGAAAACTTTAGCGTTTCCCAGTTTATTCAAGTTTATCACACAGTACTTTCTTATTTTGTCAAGAACGTCCTGCTCATTCAATCCTTTTCTCCTTACCTCTGAATCGATGTCGATGTCAATCTTGGAACGAACAAAATAAAAACATTTCTTCTGTTTTCTTATTTCTTTAGCCAGCATGATGTCATTCTCAGTGAACCTCTCTGAGTTAAGGATAATGAAAAAATCATAGGTTTTAAATTTGACAGATTTAAGGTATTTATTTGCTTTGAAATTTGGAGTTCCTATTCCAGGCAGGTCCCAGATTTTCACATTTGGCAATGTAGGATGCACATACATGGTGCGCTCTGTTGTAGTTTCTGTGACACCAGTAGGTGCTGCTCCATTATCATTGTCACTTAGGTCTCGAATGAGATTCACAAAGGAGGATTTCCCAGATCCTGTCTTTCCAGTCACAGCGATGTCAAGTGAGACATTTAACAACTGGCCAGATGTTTCTTTCTCGTTTGCTGCCTTAGAAACAGCACAGTCTTGAGTCGCCATGTTTTAAACTGCAAAAGTTATAGAAGTACCTGAAGGTTGAATGTAAGAATATTCATAATTTCAGTTATTCCAGTAATCAACAGTTTCTGTAGTGTGATCCACATTCAACCCTGATGCTCTTTGTTTAACAAATGGAGTCAACAGAAAGCATTGTTACATTTAAAGGCAGAGGATGTACAGCACAGTCTTGAGTTGCCATGTTTTAAACTGCAAAAGTTATAGAAGCACCTTCAGCATTACTTATTTCTTGAAAGGTGAAGAATGTAAGAATACTCATAACTTCTGTTATTACAGTAATCAACAGTTTCTGTAGTGTGATCCACATTTAACCCTGATGCTCTTTGTTTAACAAATGGAGTCAACAGAAAGCATTGTTACATTTAAAGGCAGATAACTTATTTAGGATGTACATTACAATTAAAGGGATCAAACAGACGTAGCATTTGATGGTTACAGGGTTTTATACTGACCTTTTGAGTGGAGAGCTTCTAACCTTTTTTTCTTTTGTGTTTCTCTGCCCTGTCAGTGGAAATAAAACCACGTTTCATAAATTAAATTAGAAAACATTGATAATTGGGTCCATTTACATAAACAGCACAATACTACCATGAAGTTAAGGGACACTAAGGGTCAACTAATGTTATAGTAAACCCACAATACTTTGCAGAACCAGCTTGGGGTCCTGATTCCCCTGTCAGGGTTTATTTTTTTATTTTTTATTTTAAATATATTTATATTCAGAAACTGTATCCACACTGTAAAAAAAATCTGTTAAATATACGGTAAAAAACTGGCAGCTGTGGTTGCTAGAAATGTACAGTAAAAAACAGAATTTTATTAACTGATGTAATGTTAATTTACCAACCTATTGAAATACTAATATCTGTTTTGTACCTTTGTAATACAATGACAACAACCAAACACATTGGTGATGAGAGTCACTATTACAGTGGGCCATTCTACAGAATTGGTGCAAAGTCAGAGTTGGAAACATCTTGAATTTTTTTTTGTTTTCCCCCCACAAATTTTGCAAATTGTATAATATCCAAGGTACGCTTTTCTAGTAATTGTGCAGTTAATTCTCATATTGTATTTTCAGAAAATGTTGAAATATTTTCCTTCTCCCCAAATTTTTCACTACCGAAACACAATATTAAATAATTTATTAAGAGAGCTTATAATGACCTATTAAGATTTTGTTTACATCTACCTTATAAATATATACATTTTCTATTTTTAAAAAATATTTTTTACAGGTTAAATCAATAAAGATTATAATTTTAATAATATTTTAAGTGTAATTTACGAGATTTGTTGTATTTTGAACCCAATCTTTCTTTGTAGAAGGCATAAAGTTTATCGTACTGATTTCAAAGTTAAGGATTCATTAGTTTGAAAAAGCATTGAACCAAACACTATCATAACATCTTAGTTGATAATTCAATATACTTTATTTTTGACAAAACATCCCATGTTACGGTAGTGACTGCACATTTTTGGTAGTGACAGTAATGTTTTGGTAGTGACCACAATACTTAGTTTGCCATGGCTGAATCAGACTGTCCACATTTTATGTTAATATAAATAAATAACTATGATGCACATATGCAGTCAGTACATATAGCAGACACACATCTGACAGTAAATCTTATAAGAACACCTAGAGCTATTCTATACTTTGGGTCTTGAGGTGCAAGTGAGAAGAGATATGCTCATAGATTTCTCTTCCTAAAAAAAAAAAAAACTTACAATGTAGACTGTTTCAGAACCACTTTGTTTTATTCTCACATTTTCAACATTTTGTTTATGAGTCATTCAGATAAATCTCCAGAACCACTGAACTGTGTGTGTGTGTGTGTGTGTGTGTGTGTGTGTGTGTGTGTGTGTGTGTGTGTGTGTGTGTGTGTGTGTGTGTGTGTGCGTGTTTACATAAAACATTAATTTCAGAATAATTTTCCTCATTCAGATAAATCTCCAGAACCACTGAACTGTGTGTGTGTGTGTGTGTGTGTTAGACTTGTAGTCGAGACCGCCTAAACCGAGACCAAGACACTACCAAGACCAGATGGTATCGAGACCAAGACAAGACCAAGACCAAGACCAAGACAGACCAAGCCGAGACCAAGACCAAGTCGAGACTAAGACCGAGACCAAGTCAAGACCGGAGGGGAAAAAACATTATTGTTGAAGCTAAGCAATAACTTGTCAAATGTTGTTTTGCATTTGCCTGCCTATCTCTGCTGATTTCGAAGTCTCCAAATGAATCCATTCTGCAACTTTTAAATACATAATTATATTTTTAAAAACGAAATTATAGGCTTAAGTGCAGAATCCGAAAGTTGGTCGTTTTTGTCGCTATGGTTACACACACACACACACACCGTTGGCGGTGCGCTCAAAGTCATCTGTCAGTTGTGCAGTTACCCAAAATCTCCTGAATGAAGGTAAAACCCATCATGTCACTGATATGTGTTTTACTAAATATTAATATATCAAAAACTGTACATGATATGTGTTTTTTAAATCAAGTGATCAAAGTGCTCCTTGCCGCTGCGATCAGTGGCGCGGATACAGTGTTTTCTCGCGTGGCTCGCGCGCACCGCACTGTCTTCACTCGGACGCGCGCTTCAATACGTTGCGGATATCGTCGTGGATAATGTAGTATTGTATTGCTCAATCCCCTGACCACTATGTCGGTCTGAGACAGCGAGACCTAGACAAGACCGGGAGGTCCGAGACCAAGACAAGACCGAGACCAAAGACCGTCAAGGCCGTGACAAGACCGAGACCACGTAAAAGTGGTCTCGAGACCGGTCTCGAGACCAAGACCGGTCTCGAGACATACATCACTAGTGTGTGTGTAACATCTTCTATAGTTACTGATTTTTGCTCGTTTTCAACCTTTTCCCCCAGTGTGTATGTGCACTGGTGTCTGATCACCCTCACTGTTAGTGCTAGGTGGTGTGGAAGCCCTGCAAAATGTCTCCACCTCTTTTTGTCTTTTCACCATCATCCTGTGTCTTTTCCTCCATGCTTTTCTGACATGTCTTTGCCCCCTGTCATATAATTCACTGATACTCTTCAACTTTCCTTCTTCCCTTCGTTTCTTATTTATTTCTCTTTCTTTCCTTAAGTATTCCTCGTACTTCACTGGGTCTTCCCTCAACCCTTATTTGTATTCTCTCTGTCTCTCTGTTGTAGGGTTTCAATTTTTTTTTTTCAGTTTTTTTTTAGGGTTTCAGTTTTATGTCATTCTCCCTGTCAAGTTAATCATAGAAATTAACATTACTTACAGAATCTTGCATACTAAAACACTACTAAAACATACTACAGTAGTAATTATTTGCATAACTGTACTAAAATGTAGTTTATTCCTCCAAATAAAGGATTATGTGTTCCCTTTTGTCACTACCAAAACAATAATGTCACAACCGAAACTTCAAGGCATGTTTCGGTTGTGACTGTTTTGGTAGTGACAATTTTAGATACTTTTGAGCCTAGCTCGAAGATGCTAATCAGCAAATAGTTAGCAATCACTGGCCAGAACAGTTGAACACATATAACAACTACATTTTATGGAATAACATCCACAAAAGTTTTCTCAGTAGCAGAAAAAAACGAGTTTGGTAGTGACATTCCTTAAAGTTACACACAGATTTTTAGACTTTTACCTCAAAATGATGGGATCAATCTACTCACCATATAGCACATGAGAGAGGGGGACACAGGAATATTTCCTGATCAAAAATGTAGGGGTGTGGTTAAAATCAGTCTCAGCCAATGGACTACAACATTCACTGTTTTGGTAGTGACATGAAAATGCAGCGCACGTTTTTTTTGATAAAGTTTCATGATGTAAAAATAAAATATAAAATAAATATTTTTTTTAACTTAATTTAAAAATATAAAAATATATATATTTTTTAAAAAACAAGAATGGAAAAATGTGCAAAAAAAATTTCAATATCATTTTCACAAGTTGAAATTTAAGGGTTAGGGTTTGGGACAGCCACCTCCTAATTGAAAGTAGCCCATAAATGATGATTATATATATATATATATATATATATATAAAGCTTACTGATATCTTAAATATTATTGTGGGTTTCAATAGATAATTGAAGGATCTTAGTAAACATCTAATATTTTAATAATTAAATGCTTTTCAAACGTGTTTTTTGGATGAGGGACAGCAGTTTGCACCAATTCTGTAGAATGGCCCATATAGCACGGAAACCTTCTGTTAATAAATTAACTGTTTTTCACCATAGCATTTTTACCGTTAAAATCACAATAATTTTTTATAGTGTATTCTGCTGTGCTTTAAATTATATATGAGTTAACTGTAATGTGGTGTCAAATATTGGCTACATAAAGAAATGTTGAAAGTGACAAATCATACAATTACATTTAATAAACTAAAATAGTGTAAATTTAAAGATACTTGGTTGCTACTTTTAATGAGAGACATATTACTTACTTATCAATAATGTTTTTTTGTTTGTTTGTTTTTTTTAAGATTTATAGTTACCTTAAATTCTTGGTTCCAGCTGGAGTAGTGAGACACCTGGATGCTGACGATGTTTTATGTTTCTTTTCAGTGTAGTTTGAGAAAACAAGTTTACAAGGAGATATAGAGTCTGACGATCCTTTAAATTGAGCTGTGAGCTGCTGTAAAAGTAATAAAAGACAGAACATAAGAATGAACCCATATGAAACAAAATATATATAAAAAATTATAAATTGGTCATATATTATTATCTAGTCATAGAGTGTGGTGCATTTTGAACATACCTTGAACTTTTTCAAAACGTATAGTCGATTTCCATAAACTTGTGTTCTCTATCGTACAGCTCAGCTGCAGCCAAGGAGTCTTTAAAAAGGTAATGGGGCGGGCCGTCCACCAACGGTTAGGGCTTGGCAAAGCCACCCCGGGGCTTTAACTGTTGTGGGGCTTTCCCGGGGCTTTAACTGTTGTGGGGCTTTCCCGGGGCTTTAAC